TTACATATTTAGAATTTTTGAAAAGCAGATCTAGCACAATCCGTCCCAGTCCTTTGCAAACCTGAAATCGGATATGAAAGTTTTTCAGGATGGTGCTGGAGGAGCAGATTTGGGAATCTCAAATCACCTGAGATGACCAAGGGAGACTGTCGCATCTCCTTATCTGCGTTTCTTGAAAAATGTACAATAGGTGGAATTGGTTTATTGTTACCCAGAGGAAGGATAAGACATCTCTTGTAAAATGTTAAAAGAGGGAAAATAACATTTCTTTCTTTCTTTTTTTTTTTTTTTTTTTGAGATGGAGTCTTGCTCTGTTGCCCAGGCTGGAGTGCAATGGTTCAATCTCAGCTCAATGCAAACTCTGCCTTCCTGGTTGAAGATTCTCTGGCCTCATCCTTCTGAGTAGCTGGGATTACAGGCGTGTGCCACCATGCCCAGCTAACTTTTTGTATATTTAGCAGAGATGGGGTTTCACTATGCTGGCCAGGCTGGTCTTGAACTCCTGACCTCGTGATCCACCCACCTTGACCTCCCAAAGTGCTGGGATTACAGGTGTGAGCCACAGCACCCGGCCAAAAGAACATTTCAGTAGAGGTTCCAGACACACACTTTGGGAATGAGCCCTGTAGTTGGAACAAAGTCTGAAGCAGGAGAAATCTTGGCACAGGATGTAGAGGGGTGCCTGGTTTCACATCCTCCTTGGTCAAGGGGTTCCCCGCCCTGAATCACCTTCAACATCTAAACCAGGGAGGGTGATAGCGGATGACTTCTCCAGCAAGCACGATGCTATTCTGCTGCTGCATTTCAACCTAACGTTAGGGTCCTGATGAAAGCTGCCTCGTGGGGTGGTAGATCCCTCAGAGGTGAAGTTTGTATCGGGCCACTGTGCTTCGTCCCTCTAAGCCATTCCGGTTGGGGCCAGACCTTTTTGATCCTTACAAGCCTGACTTCTTGACTCCTGCAGAATTCCAGAATCTTCCCAGTTCCCAAGTGGAACCCTCTGCCAAATAACCCCCTATACAAACAGGCAAAAAATATTGCAGTTTATGTCAGGTTCTCTTTAGTCTATGATTTATTGATGGAGAATATGAAATTTTCATTAAAACAGACTGCTGTTTCTCACTCATTTGTCACATTTCTAATTTGTATTTTAAAACATTAATAAAACTGACACAACTAATTATTATTCAAAATGTCAAATATATTGAAGATGTGGGACTGGAATGAAGCTTCATGTTGTAGCAGAAGGAGGCATTGGTTCAAGAAAATTATCTCTTGGTTACACTGAGCTCTTTCCCCTTCTTGAACCTTATGGTCAGATAAATTGTCTTTGATCTCCTAATAGATACCACTGTTTACAAAGTACTTTTTTTTTTTTTTTTTTTGAGATGGAGTTTTCACTTTTGTTGCCCAGGCTGGAGTGCAATGGCATGATCTCGGCTCACTGCAACCTCTACCACCTGGGTTCAAGCGATTCTCCTGCCTCAGCCCCCCAAGGAGCTGGGATTACTGGCCTGCACCACACACCTGGCTAATTTTGTATTTTTAGTAGAGATGGGGTTTCTCCATATTGGTCAGGCTGGTGTTGAACTCCCGACCTCCGGTGATCCGCCTGCCTCAGCCTCCCAAAGTGCTAGGATTACAGGTGTGAGCCGCTGTGCCCGGCTAAAGTACTTTCTTTTTTAAAAATCCTGAGATATTATCCAGTAGCGCTTGGGGAGGCCCCGGTTTATGTCTGTGGTCTTAGTATTGTTAATAATGTATCACGGGATTGTCCATATTTGTATGACAATGTGTATCAGGTTCTAAGACTGTAAGGGCTTTTGAGTTAGACATAACTGGCTCACGTCCTTGGTAACCATGTGACCTCTCTTTAGCCCATTTCCCCATTTGTAAAACGCAGCACATAATAGCACCAACTTCATGTTATTGTCATAACATGTTTAGATGATACAATATAGTATGCATGGCATATAACAAGAGATCATTATATGATTGCTGCCACCATATTTGTGGCCATAATTATCATTAGACCCTGCATGGGCCTGGTCCAGACTTCGCTCTAAGCCCCACCTCACTTTACACCCCCGGGTGCAGCCTCTGTCTGGCAGCTCCGGACTTCTTTCAGTTCTATGTGTATGCCTTTGCCACAGGGACTTTGTATCCACTGCTTGATCTTTTAACCTGAGTCCCATCTCAGCTCAAACATTATTCCCCAGGGAAGCCTGCCCAGATCTCTCTCATTAGGTCAAGTCCACCTGTTGTCAGCTCTTGAAACATCCTACATCTCTTTTCTGTACCAATTGTCATTGTAAAAAATTAGCAGGTACCTGTGTGATGCTTTGGTTTATGGCCATCTCTCCCACCAGTCTGTAAGCTCTGAGAAGACGGGAACTGCATCAGTCTTTGCTTACCACTGGTTCCTAGTACCTGGTGGAATGCTGGGCTACAGTGAATGGTCAATAACAATTGGTTGAATGGGTGAGTTGAATCTCACTGCTTTCTGACTCATCAGTTCTACCTCATCTGTTCCTATCAACTCCCAAGTCCCCCTGTCGTTTTCTGTATCTTTCATTGACTATCCATCCTTGGATAAAATGGGTGCTATTATAACAGTAATAATAGCTGAGATTTTCGGAGTGCTTGCTATATACCACGTATTTTACTTGCATTATTTCTCTGAAGACTTATGATAATCTGATGAATTCAATGCAGTCATCACCACCCCCATTCACAGATGAGGAAACTGAGGCGGAGGTAATGATACCCAGCAGGTGAGTGACCAGCTGGGATTCTTGCACAGGTGGCGTGACTCCATGGCTCCTGCCTCTGGCTGAGACTGTTCTATTCCTCCTATGAACTGTTCTATGAAAAGATAGTTCATCACTGTATCCTCAATCTCTGGCCAAGTGCCTGAAACATAATGAGTTCTATAACTATGTATTTAATAATTTGAAATTTGAAAGAATAAATTCTGATTATTAAATTACCACATTTTTTTGCCCGATCCTGTGGCTCAAGCCTGTAATCCCAGCATTCTGGGAGTCTGAGGTGGTCAGATCACCTCAGTCTGGGGTCAGGAGTTCGAAACCAGCCTGGCCAACATGGTGAAACCCCATCTCTACTAAAAACACAAAAATTAGCCAGGCATGGTGGTACGTGCCTGTAATCCCAGCTACCGCAGAGGCTGAGGCAGGAGAATCGCTTGAATCGGGGAGGTGGAGGTTGCAGTGAGCTGAGACTGTGCCACTGCACTCCAGCCTGGGTGACAGAGCGAGACTCCGTCTAATAAATAAATAAATAAATAAATAAATGGCATATTCTTGAGTTGTAATTTTTTTTAAGTTACTTCCAATTTTTTTTTCTTTTTTAAATTTAGGTTTCAGTCACAATCTGGGTATCTCATGGAACATGTGACCTATATTAACAACATTGTCTTGCTTGTAGCGGTGAATAAATATTTAAGGATCCCTAGGCCCATTGCACGCAGGGTGCTTCCAGCGGATACAACCCGGAATTCCAGGATGGGATCTGGAAGAGGGAAGGCTCAGGGGTCATTTTCCTTGGAGAAGGAAATTGAGGTGTGGGAGGTTGGAAGGAAATGGTGGGATGAGGCTGCGGGAAAGATCTGTTCGGGCATCTGAGCCTGCTTGTAAAAGGCAGAGCCCTCCTCTGGGTCTCATGAGGGATCAAAGAGAGAAGGAGCCTTTGCAGAGCTGAAGCAGTCACTTGGGCCAGGGGCAGGTGTTTTGGGTAAGTGGGTCTTGGGTTGGGATTATGCTTCCAGCTTCTCTACCCTCCCACCCATCAATTCCTTTTTCAGAGGAAAAGAATCCCGGAATCTTGTGTCTTCTAGATCCCATTCTGGGATTCCAGGTTGTATCAGCTGGAAGCGCTGTGAGTGCTATTGGCCCAGGGATCCTCAAACATTTCCTCAGCACTGCATACAAGGCAGACGTTGTTCATAGGTTCATATAGGTCACATGTTCCGTGGCAATGCCTAAACTGAAAAAACGGGAAGTAACTAAAAAACAATCGCAACTCACAGATATGCTGTTTAATACTCGGAATTTATTTATTCGTGTGAACATCAAGTTACGGAGTACATATTTATTGAGCTCCTTATATTCCAGGCATTTGACTAGAGATTGAGGATTCAGTGATAAACTGTTTTCTCATAAGTCACAAATAGATACATTATAAATGATATAACTTAAAGATAACACAAATTTATCTGCTGTATTAAAATTAAATATAACACAAATGTATCTACTGTATTAAAATTAAATACATACATACACACCCATCTGCAGTGAAGTATACGTAACATAAAAACACAGCACACACATTCTTTGTCTAGGTTCATACAATCATATTGTCTAAACTTCCATGGGTATGATGGGTACACGATGACACTTCCCTCTTCTGCCTCAGGTCTCTGTCTGCCCACTGGGTTATCTCTCAGCACACCCAGCACCATCAATTCTTTGGCCTCCCCTCCAGAGCAAAGACGTTTATCCTTTGCTTTTGGAGACGTGATCTTGTTCTGTCACTCAGGCTACAGAGATGTGGCAGGGTTGTGGTGCTCTGCAGCCTTGGTTTCCTGGGCTCTTGTGATGCTCCTACCTCAGCCTCCTGAGTAGCTGGGACTACAGGCATGCACCACCATGCCAAGCTAATTTTTTTTTTTTTTTTTGTAGAGACAGAATCTCACCATGCTACTCAGGCTGGTCTCGAACTCCTGGGCTCAAGCAATCTGCCTGCCTTGGCATCCCAAAGTGCTGTGATTACAGGTGTAAGCCACCGTGCCCAGCCTCAGAGCACAAATGTTTAAATACTGGCCCCCCCACGCCCTGCGACACCTTTCTTTTTCTTTTCTCTCTTGTTATACACAAATGGGAGCAAAGTAAACAGTGTTCTAACCTTGCCTTTTATGCTTATACCTATCTTGGAGGTGGTTCATATCAGTATACAAAAACCTTCCTTGTTCTTCTTTACAGCTGCTTTTTGATAGCTCCACGGATGTCAGTGGTGAATTATTAACAGTAAATCAATAGAATGGAAAACTTCTGCAGGGCTTTGATATCATGGAAAGAAGTTCCTGGTATAAAACGTAATGGAGGAGAAAACCAGATTGTAGTTTCACACCATATGGTATTATCATGGTTATGAAAAATATAATCTATATGTGTATGTGACTAGCTACATGAATTGGGAAGAATGCTTTTTAAAATATTAGCATCAGTTATATCCCAGTGGTAGATTTATTGTCATATATATGTTATGTGTATATATACATAATATCTATATATCGAGACAGAGTCTCACTCTGTTGCCCAGGCTGGAGTGCAACGGCACGACCTTGGCTCACTGCAACCTCTGCCTTTCAAGTTCAAGCCGTTCTCCTGCCTCAGCCCCCCAAGTAGCTGGGACTACAGGCATGCACCATCACACCTGGCTAACTTTTGTATTTTTAGTAGAGATGGGGTTTCACCATGTTGGCCAAGCTGGTCTCAAACTCCTGACCTCAGGTGATCTGCCCGCCTTGGCCTCCCAAAGTGCTGGGATTACAGGTGTGAGCCACCATGCCCGGCTTGTTTTTGTTTTTTGAGACAGGATCTCATTCTGTTGCCCAGGACGGAGAGCAGTGATGCAATCACAGCTTTAACCTCCTTAGCTCATGAGATATTCCTGCCTGTGTCTCCCAAGAAGCTGGGACCACAGGCATGCGCCACCACACCCAGTTAATTTTTAAATTTGTTATTATTTTTTATTGTACTTTAGGTTCTGGGGTACATGTGCAGATCATGCAGGACGGTTGCATAGGTGCATGCATGGCCAGGTGGTTTGCTGCCTCCATCCCCCCACCACCTATATCTGACATTTCTCCCCTCAATATCCCTCCCCACTCTCCCCACCCCCGCTGCCTCTCCCCTAGTCCCCTCCCCTGCCCACCGACCGCAGTGTGTGATGTTCCCCTCCCTGTGTCCACGTGTTCTAATAGTTCTTATATTTTTTTGTATGGGGTCTCATCTTCTAGCCTAGACTAATCTCCAACTCCTGGGCTCAAATGATCCTCCCACCTTGGCCTCCTAAAGTGATAGGATTACAGGTGTGAGCCACCACACCTGGCCTGTATTTTTAATAAAATGAAAAATGCGTGATTCCTACAGCCTTGACAAAGGAAATATTATCTTTGTTTTGAAACAAACAAGTGCCCTTCACACCTGCTCTGCCTTTTACTACTGCCTTAGGATGGATAATTAGACCATGAATGGTGGTGATTCCCAGTGCCTCTCCTCCCTTTTCTTAGCTCAATGCCTGGGATATGATGAAGACATGGAAGCAAAAAACTCAGAACAAACAAACAAACAAACACAAAACGACAACAACAAAGAAAAAGAAAAAGAATAAGCATCTGAACGTAAGGCAGCAAGAATGGCTTTGTCAGAGGAACCTTCGAATCTATTTTAATTTGTTTTAGCATTTCATTGCAGACTTCATTACTTGAGCTGACTTCAGTAATAAAATAAAGTAGACTCTCCCCATTGCTAGTGTTGAGATACTGAGGTTGCAAGTCAACCTCACCCAAGTCAACCTTCTCATTTTAGAGACGAGGATGTTGGTTTTTGAAGAAGATATCAAGGCGTGGTGGTTAGCTATGTAGAAATTATTATATGAAAAGCTTTCAAAACATACAAGTACCTGGGGGCTAAAAATAATAAAATGGGTTATTAGAGATGAAAGAATTGGGATTCAGGACTTGTTTCAAACCCTTCATTTTTTTTTTTTTTTTTTTTTTTTTTTTTTTAGAAAGAGTCTCGCTCTGTTGCCCAGGCTGGAGTGCAGTGGTGTGATCTTGGCTCATTGCAACCTCCGCCTCCCAGGTTCCAGTGATTCTCCTGCCTCAGCCTCCCGAGTAGCTGGGATTGCATGTGCATGCCACCACACCTGGCTGATTTTTGTATTTTCAGCAGAGATGGGGTTTCACCATGTTGGCCAGGCTGGTCTCCAACTCCTGACCTCAGGTGATCTGCCCGCCTCAGCCTCCCAAAGTGCTGGGATTACAGGTGTGAGACACAACGCCCTGCCCAACCCCTTTAATTTTGATGATTTTATCTTTCATTTTGACCATGAAGACTTGAGAAGACATTTGTTCAGGATCAAACCAGAGCCAGGGCTAAAACCTGGGTATTATGATTCTTAGCTCTGGAACTTTCTTCAATGTTGTGTTTTACACACCCTAGGCAGCACATGAAAGACGGCAGGGCTCCCTACGCAGTGAGCCTTCCATGCCTTCACCTTTATTTGACTTGATGAGAATTATGCAGGAACCAAAATTTGCAGGTGATGTTCCCACGATGAAGGATTTGCTGCAATGCCACATTCATCACAGAACTCATAAGAGCAGTGCCTACAGTTTGGAAATCCTTTTTCCTTGACAAATGATATATTTCATTTATTTCCCATGATCTTCTTGCATTATTTCAATATTATTAATACTTGGCAAATATATTAAAAAAGTAATAAACTGGCAATTATGATTGTGCTATGGACCCCAAACTGCAATTATTCATTACGTTTCAATTATTAACTTCCCTTCAAATGTCTTTCAGCGAAGATTGTAAGACGAAAAAAAAAATCCCGATGAAGCTCTGTGCCCTGGTTCCTGGAGATCTATGTTTCACTCTGACTTGACATTTTTCTGATTTATTTGCTATCTCAGGGCTAGAGGAATCAAAATAATAATAAAAAAGTCCTCGCTACTTAATAAACAATAACCATCAACACCTTATATTTATATAGAGCTTTTTAACCCTTCCTAGTGCCTGAGTATGACTGCATTTTATTTTAAAACAAAGCTCGTGAAGTTTGTGGCTCCAGTAAGTGGCCCTATTTATTAATGGGGGACACAGAGACACATCAGAGACTGGGCACAGCAGACACTCAGATGGTGAGACTTCCCACCACCCACACCCCTTCACCACCACTCCCCACCATAGCATCTCAGCACCAGCCCCAGTTCCAAGGCAAATCTTGACCTAAGGAGAAAGTCAATCACTGAGACTGATGGAAAGGGTGATGATGACAGGAGTAACTGCTCTCTGAACTTGCACTGGGACCTAAGTGCTGGACACATGTTACTTTGTCTAATTTTCCCACGTTCCCAGTGGGGAAGACATAGTAATAATTCTGCTTTATGGAAATCTTAGGAGAGTTGCCCAAAGGCCCACAGCTAGTATCTAGGAGTACGACTACAGCAAATGATAACCACGATGATAGTTGCATGAATTCAATGTTGACCGTGTGCTAAGTACATCTGTAGATTTTATAAATGAGAATCCTGAGGATCAGAGGACTTTCTCAAAGTCAGTAACAACCAGCATGCTGCTCACCTCTCCACCAGCACCTCTGCCTTCAGCTCCTACCAAGCACGTGCATGTCATCCCATCTGATGTACCACCCCATTGCTATTTTTCCTTTCACTGCCAAAGAAAAGCAGAGATGGGAACAGGAGAGAGGGAGGTCTATGGATGTAGTTGCCTTGGAGAGATACTTCCACCACAATTTGGCTCACGATTAGCCCTCAAAGCAATTCTACACCCTCCACCTGCTCCCGCTTCTCACATTATCCCTGTAGGAGTACGATAAAAGACAGCTATAAAGGACATGAAGAATTCCTTTTTCTTTTCAAATAAGCAAATTGCATTAAATTTTAACGATGGTCATTATGGACTGGTTTGTCTTTGGCACTGAAGCAAGTCCTCTGGTCTCCTTTGAAGGGTTACATTTGCACAGATTAATTATCTGCAATTTTGTCCGGCACGTCTTTATCCCAGTCATCGCACTGCGAAACCTTGTTCCCGTCTGGGCAGAGCTCAATGATGTAGCACTTTGGCCTTTAAAATATGCACAATAAATATTTTAGATTTTCCGATGAATGACTTGCTCCCATGGCAAGGCTGCAGGGATGGAGTTTTGCAGGGACAGACGGAGGCAGAAGTGGAGCAAATCTCAAAATGAGAGTCACTTTCAGGCTTCACAAAGAGGTGCTGGGTGCCAGGCAGAAGGGGTAGCCTTCCCGGTCAGATGCCACTGCAGATCTGGAGTCACACTGGAATTACTTTCTGAAATGCGTGACTGTGTCCTTCTCCTTGACAGGGGTCACTTTCCTGGGTTGACTCTCTTCCAAGGAGCACATATAATCTTACCAATCTCAGGAACCCCCTCTGAGACCAAAGTTTCTGCTGAAAGAAACGTGCAATTTTATGTAAGCTGGTCCATAGAAAACTCAATAAAGCAACCAATGTAACATTCAAGGTAACAATTGAATAGTTCATGGAACACTCAGTTGAATAGTCTGTGGAACCTTCAGTGAAATGATTGATGTAACATTCAATTGGTACTTCGTACTCCATTCATTCAACAATTCAATTTTCCATAAAGCATACACTCGGTCCTTTAAAGAGCTGGACCAGATCATGCCATTTACCTTTTAAAAATATTCCTTGGTTTCCTATTACGCTTAGAATAATATACTAACTCCTGACCATGTACTTAAGGCTCCAACATGAATCATAACCACCTCACCCATTCATCGCTCCTCACGATACTCCATCCACACAGGCCTTTGATCATCTTCCATGAACTCACAGAGCATGTTTCTGCCCCAGGACCTTGACACTCACTCCTCTCTCTTCCCAGAATACTCTCCCTTGGGATTTTTCCATGGTTGGCTTCTTGTTGTCATCCAGGTTTCAACTCAAATGTTCTATCAAATGTCTGAGCACATATTTCTTGAACTGAGCTAAGGTAATCCCTTCATCTCAACCATTCTCCACCAATTACTTTATCAGCTCTTGTCACTATTTAAACTTGTGTGCTTTGTTTTGGTGTGCTTTACTCATTGATTACCTGCTTTCGGTTCAATATAAGATCCATAAAGGTAGGGACTTTATTTATGTTGTTCATCATGGAATCCCTACTGCTTAGAATGTGGCTCATCACAGTGTCATTGCACAGCAAACATCCGTTGAATGAATGAATATTTCTTGAACACTAATGATATGCAGGTTGCATGCTGAGCACCTGGAATACAGCACTAAATGAGACACGTGGTTTTCTTTAATGGACCCCTTTACATGCTAGTAAGATATTTGGCTGTTCACTTCTCATGGCCTTGGATAGCAGCTGGGAGGCAAACGCACCCAGATAGGACTGACACGTGTCTCATTTTGGTCATGATAC